GGGAACCAGGAGGAGGGGAGAGGTAAGCACATGGCAACATGGTTTAGAAATAGCTGAAGTTATATGGAGGTCTTATTCTAGGCAGAATAAGGCAAAAAGCTGATTTCCTAGAACCTAGTATCTAGCAACAAAGTCCAAGGTTCCAGTGGAAGGAAGATAAGGAGGATGAGGAAGATGGCTGAGGCAGCTAGGTGGCTCAGTGGATAGAGTGCTGGGCCTGGAGTCAGGAAGACCCAAGTTCAAATTTGGCCTCAGATATTCACTAACTGTGACCTTGGGCAAGTCACTTAACCTTGCAAAGGAAACCAGAGGGTAGCAAGTTCACAGATCCTCTGAAATCTATTTGCAGATGCAAGGACCTCAAGTTAAGAAGCCCCACCCTAGAAGGAGAGGAGAAATCTAAACCACGGCTGCTGCATGCTACTGAGATGTGATGAGAGTAAAGATTGTTAGATACAGAAAAGCATGATACAGATATGATGGCTGCTTGAGAGCCTCTGGGGGCCTGGATTTGAGGTGATGTGTGTGCTAAAAATAGGAGACCCATCTGCTGCAAGTGTCTGAATGCTGGAGGGCTCAGGGTAATCACTCTGGGCATATGGACAGTGCTGAGAACCTTCATGCTGAATTCTGAACCACCTGAGAACACGGGTAAAGGTTTCTGGATACACAGAGAAGGTAGCCATGGTGCTTCAGATGAGTGACAGTGCAGTGATATCAGGGTGCATGAACCAAGCCATGACTTAGTGCTCAAGTGACCTTCATTGGTGGATCATTATGTTAGATTGCTGTCTGGAAACAGGGCTAGTCTTCCACTTATTCACTGCTCAGAAAACTGATTAAGAAGGAAGACAGAAGATGAGCTTAAAGAGAGTGAAACAGTGAAAAGAAGGCTAAATCTGGATTTAGAGTCTGAGGACCTGAATTCAAATCCCAGCTCTATCTCTTCCTAGCTGTGTTCATCTCTTTAAGCCTCAGTTTTCTGATCTGTAAAATCAGAGGGTTGGACGAGATGACCTTTGAGGATACTATGACCCTATAAATCATTTCACCTGTTTGGGCCTCAGTTTACCTATCTGTAAAATGATATGATGGGACTAGATGACTTCTAAATCTATGTACTTAGAATTGTTGGAGAAATAATAATTAACCAGGTAGGGTAGGGTTGTACCCCACAGCTCTTTCTTGGGCCCAGTCCTCTTTTCTTTCTACATTCTCTCAGTGATCTCATCAGTTTCCAAGTGTGCAATTAGTAACTCTATGTGGGTAACTTCCCAAGCCACATATGTCCCTTATCTTTCTCCTATCCTGCATCACCAACCACTTGCTGGTTATCTCCACCTGTGTGTCTAATAGGCATTTCTTAATACATCCAAAATGGATTGCTTTATCATTCCCTTCTAACTCACCACTCCTCCTCACTTCCCAATTTCTGTTGAAGGTACTACCATTCTTCTAATTACATAGATTACAATCTAGAAATTATCCTTGGCTATTCACTCTTCCTCATTTACCATATATAATCAATTTCTAGGTCTTATAAATTCCATTTCCACATTTGTCAAATCCACACTGTCACTTTCACTCAGAGGACCATGGACCCTAATTCAGGCCCTCACCACATCTCACTTGGACTGTTTCAATGGCCTTTTAATCTACCTCTTGGTTTCACATCTCTTCTCTCTCCAATCCTTACTTTTTACATCTGCCAAGCAGATATTCCTAAAGCAGAGCTCAGAATGTATTACTCTCTTGAGCTTGAACATCTTCATTAGCTCCCTAGGACAAAACACAAACTTCTCTGTTATTTCAAATCCTTCACACTCTGGTTCCAGTCTATTTTTCCAGATGCATTTCACATAACTCCCTCATGTGCATTTTCCCAGCCAGATGGGACTATCTACCCTTCCCAGCACACAATATTGCATGCCCTACCTTTGCATTGCACATCCCCAAATTCCTGGTATGCACTTCCTCCTCGATCCCTCCTTCCCTTCAAGGCTTAGCTCAGGCTCTACCTCCTGATCCTTCTATCATTAGTCTTCTCCCCATTTCTGGAATCCCATAGGGTCTACTTTGTATTTCCTTATCTGGGGATGCACTGGATCTTCCCTCCTGTTCCCCTAAAAGAAGATGTGAAGGCAGGGGCTGTTTTCATTTTTCTCTTTGAATTCTCAGTGCCTAGCACAATACCTTACACATAGTAGGTTGGGTTATCTCACAGAAACTCAGAAGAAAAACATGCGAGACTGAGGGAGGCAGTGGAAAGAGGGCTTCTTTGGGAATCAGAAGACCTGGGCAACTAGGTTGTGCAATTAGGAGGCAGCTAGTAGATAGAGCGCTGAGCCTGGAGTCAGGAAGACCTGAGTTCAAATTGAGAGAAATGATTATTTCTTTCTCATATTAATAGCCAATTATTAACATTGGGGAGACCCAAGTTTTTTTCCCTGTCATATTTCCTTGTTCAGTCTCTCAAGGACAGGGCTGATGGAACATAGAATTAACCTTTTCCTCATTCTGGGTATTACTACTAGATCAGATTTCTAATCTAAGGTGAAACTCCCTTCTCTCAGGCTTGGGTGGGGAATATAGATTCTTTGTTTAGATTGCCCAAGGGCAAGCTTGGTGATCTTGTTCTTGAAAGCATGATGACTGTAAGGGAAAGCGTCTCTCCACTTTCCTGACTTCAGAGAATATGCAGATATTCCAACAACTTGGAATGCCTTTTTCATAGTCTTCTGTGCCAGAGCTAGATGTGCACATGACTCCAGTGGAGACGGCTCAGCTCTCTTTCCTTCTCTGGCCATGATCAAGGGAAGGCATGCTATCAACTGGGTGGATAAAGAGGCCTGAGGCCTTTAATGTCCTTGCCTAGACTGATGGGGGTGCCCTGTTCTTATTACTTGTCCTAGCATACCCACATCTTGGGAACTGATCTCTCAAGGTATACAGAACTTCCATTTGCAGCCTCCTCACCATTCTTGTCTATTTTGCAGGTACCTCCCTTTTTCTTGGTTGAAATTTAACAGCAAAGAGTTTCAGTATAACTTATTATGAGAGATAAATTGAACCAAATAACCACTCTACAACTTTTTTTTTCCGGAGTTATTGTTTATTGTGTGTTGTTGTAGTGACATTGTAGAACCGGGTTGTGTAGACTGTAGAGTTGTGGATGTGAGTTAAGTTTTGAATTGTCATCATACATTACACACCTGAAGAACAGAGCTGAATAGTCAGTCACCAGGGCTATTCAGGTGTTCAAAATCCGACACATAACAGGACTGGACAGTTCGAGGACTATTGTTTTTGTTTTTTGTTATTTTTTTGTTATTTTTTTTTTGGTTTTTTTTGGGGGGTACTTATTTGGATAATTGTGATTGTATTGCAAAGACTTTACAGCCTGCCTAGGGCACTTGGAGGGGTTGTTGAGTCCTGGCTAAGGTTTATTGGAATGGAGAAGGGATAACTTTTATCATGAACTTCCTGAAACTGGGAAATTCCAATATCAATAAAAAGACAAGTGTTATTGGGGTTACTTTGGAATTAGTTATTACCTCCCCCCCTCCCCTCTGGGAAATAGTGAACAAGGATAAAGCCAACATGGTGAGAGGGGAGTCTGAGAGTCATAGAGAAACTCTCCAGAGGAGGGAAACTCCATCCTCAGCAGCCCCCAACCCAGTGGCAATAATTCTGTGGAATGCAGGTTGTCAACCTGCCTGTACTGTTGTATTAGGGAACCAGCTTTCCACCAGGTTGTATAGACTGTAGAGTTGTGAATGTGAGTTGTTGTTGTTGTTTTAAATTACACTCCCCCAAAATGCAGAGTTCCAAGGTTATGATTTGTGGTGCTTGCAGAGTGTGGATAATTTGGAGGTGCAGAGAATTCACAGGAACTCGATGTCCAGTCCCTCAGTTCCCTCCAAGAGGAGGGAAATGCAGCTTCTAACTTTGTGCTCCATTGGGCAAGGTTGCTCCAGAAGCTGATGATTGCAGGAGCACTGCCTGTTGAGCACATAAACAACTACAGACTGACCCAAGTACCCAAGGGGAAACCCTATTGTTGCACCCCTATTGTGGCACCTATCAGGGTAGTCTTTCAATAACTTGAGTTGATGTGCCAGAGAGAGAGAGAAGAAGAGGGAAGGAGGGAAGAGCTATAAAGGGAGGAAGAGAGATAGGAGGGAATGTAAAGGGAACATAGAGGTAGGAAAGATAGAGAGAGGAAAAGGCAGAGTGGGAGGAAAGAGGAAGGGGTGAAGAGGGAAAGAAGGAGAAAGGAAAAGAAAGGGAGGGAGAGGGAGCAATGGAAGGGGAGAAGAGAGAGAGAGAGAGAGAGAGAGAGAGAGAGAGAGAGAGAGAGAGAGAGAGGAGACAGACACATCAGAAATTACCCAAACTGGTGTCACTTGGCCTCAGGGACGGGAAACTGAGGCAGAAAGGAGGCTGCTACAGTACAAGCAGACCTTGAAGTGAGTCCAGATGGGCAGGAACTATAAGCAGGGCCACCTCCTCCTGAAGGGTCAGGAGACCAGAGGTCAAGGCAGCCTGCTGTGGGAAAACCACCTGCAGACAGCTGCAAAAGAGCCGGTGGAGCAGCTGTCTTACTTTGACTTGTGGACCAAAACAAACACATCTGTGCTGGATTCACTCAAGAGGAATCCAGACTTTGATCAGAAGCCGAATTCCAGTGCACCAGTACCAAGCAACAAAGATACATTTGGGGCTTTGTCTAGACCCCAAAGATCCTAACCTCAGTCCTCAAAGCCTTTCCTGGGTCCTGTCCCCTCAAGCATCAGAGAGAGAGTGGAAGGTGGGTCGGTAACACTTCTCTCAGATGCTAAAAGGTTCAGGACCACAGGTCAAGGCAAGCCACTCTGGCAACAGCCCAGAAGGAAGGCCTCTGAAGAGGCCCACCCTCCCACCCCTTCACTTCTGGGCTGTATTCCTCCGTCTCCCATCGATTGGCCAATATCGACACTTGTTTACTGGGTGCACTTAAGAAAGGAATTCAGCACAGGTTTATCAGGAAGCTGTGGTCCACCAGACTGATGTTTGATGGGTGCCACAGCAGCAGAAGTGGGCATGCACCCACAGGAGTTAGGCCAGCCCATTACAGAGGCAAATGCGGCAGAGCGGTGAACAGGGGCTTCCAGGTTGGAGCAGCGATGTGGGAGAGGGGCAGCAGCTTGGCAAGCCAGAGAGCTGTCAGGTGGGCTGGCCACAGAACTGTGAAGATCACAGCTACAGAAACAGGCAGATGCAGGCCAGGGGAACAAGGGCGTTCCTGCACAGAGGCACACGAGAAGCACCAGAAGAAGCTGGGGGTTGGCATTGGGACTCTGCTAAGGCAACACACTAAAACCGCCTGCTGCCCACAGGGGAGCTCGTTGGACTCCCTGGCATCAGGAGGACAGAAATGATGGAGAACCGGGGAAGTCGAATCCCCTCTCTCCAACCGTTGTAGATGGGCAGTTGGTTGCAAAATCTGGATGAAGAGGAACTGTGTCAGGTGGGCTTAAACTAGGAAGGGGAGAGCAGCCACATGGAGGGAGCTGGCAGTGCAGACTTGGAAGGGCAGAACAGATGTTAAGGATCGGAGATTAAGGAGTGGGGGCACAGACTTGGAAAAGGGAGGTAGCTACTATATGATGAGAGAGATCAGAAGGTACTGAAGCATAGCAGTTCAGGAGCTACAGAAATGAGCATATGGGAAAAGCAAACAGTGGGGCTGTGAGAGCTGTGGGGAACACAGGCGGCTACATAGCCTGGCCAGACCACTATGGGATGATTCCAGAGTTGTGGTAGGAGACCAGCTTTCATTCAGCTCTTAAACATTCATTCTATTTATCTCGCCCCACTGAGACTGGAAGGAAAGAAACCCAAGAGGCAGATGATTTCAAACCCTAAGGTTCACTGAGGTTCCTTGGGTCTGAACTGAAAGTGGAATAGCTAGGGGTGGGAAAGGGGGGTTAAAAGCACAGGATATGGCAATCTTTTTGTGCATGAATACAGACATTTCTACCCTGTTATTTACCTTCCTATTCTGCTGTAATGAAATGTGTGTGTGTGTGTGTGTGTTTTTCAATGGTCATGTATATTTTCTTTGGTGTGGCATAGAAATGTAATGGCCGGGGCTCAAGCTTGAGGTTTTGGGATAAGTGACTCACAATAGCACAGGGGACCAGAGATGTAACAAGAGGATCCAGAGTTGTGTGGGAACCCATGGGGACCCAGCGTTACACACAACCTCACTTTGTGACCATTGACAAGTCACCTCACCTCCCTGTGCCTCAATTTCCTTATCTGTAAAATGAGAGGATTGGAATAGGTGGTCTCTAAGGGATCTTCCAGCTCTCACGTTCAGCAATTCTATCTGTGAGGACCTTCCCAGGACAGCTCAGGAAAAGCTGCCCTCTATCTCAACCTTTCATGGTATGTGTCAGTCTTTGGGTAGGCTTTACCTTCCTGTGGACACAATCTCTTCCCATTCCTCTCTGGAAGAGCCAACTGAAATAAGGGGTTAACTATGACAAATCCATCTCAGACCACAGGCTTCCTGGGGATGGGGGTATTTTCCCCCTTTGACCAGGTTCTCTATATCTCCCATTCCCTCCCCAGCAGCAGTACTCTATTGCTTCCACCCCTACCCCCTATCCCCCATCAGAACTCAACAGGTAACAAAAAACCATACTTGTCCAACCCCTGTGTATGTGCCTCACCCCCCCTCCATACCCCACCCTAAATTGGTCTTCCCCCAACACTCATCCCCGCAGAAGGAGTCCAGTGTGGATGGCAGATCCATGAAGATTTCAGGTGTCAGGTCCCACATTAGTCAATCAAGTTCAAAGTCAGACATTTTGAAAAGTGGATGGGGTTGAGGAGCAGAAGTGTGAAGAGTTCCAAGATGGTCAGCATAAAAATAAAACTAGTCCAGGAACAAGGGTATAGGGAAATCCAAGAATCCAAGAGCCTCTTCCCCTTCTGCCCCCCCAACTTTGGGCTCCAAACGGATTCCTCTGACTTCAGTGGACAGGCAGAGAAGAAGCCTACGGATTAGTTAGAAAGGAGGACCACTCCCATCCCCTGGTAGTATGGGAAGGGGAGGATCTAGACTTGAACAGAAAGCACCTGGGGAGTCTGACATCCCACGAGTGCTGGGGGCTGTGGCAGATGAAGCGGTCCTGGGAAGAGGCCATGGGAGGGGCTCAGTGTGCGGGGCAGGGGCCAGGGACAGTTATGAAGTCGCCATGTTCTCCTCATCTCTCACAGAGCCAAGTTGATCTGGGGCTTCTGGGAAAAGGGAAGGGGTCCAGTTAGCCTGGGTCAGAGGCTGGGGGGGAGCAGCCCCCAGAGCGTGCTGAGGATTGTGGTGAGGGCCAGAGCTGAGGAGGCCTGGGCCCCAAGGCTAGCCCCATTGCAGTAGTCATACTGGCAGCAGGACGTGGTGGCAGCATTCTTGGTGTAGCCATCGTACAGGGTCTCAAAGCAGGTGGGGACGCAAGACTTGCTGACTGTTACCCTGGTTGGAGTGATATCTGAACAAAAAGAAACATGTTCATGATTCCAGGGGTGGGCAGCTTTTGCTCTGAGCACTTCCCAGCCTTACCCCCAAGGTGAGAGCCCCAGTCCTCTCTAAGACTAATTCCATGAGGACAGGGCCTGAGTTTTCTATTCTGTTGTCTCCTCCAGTGTGTGATTGAGCTCACTTATGGCAGGGCCCCCACATGTTAAGAAGCTGCAGGACAGACACAGCCAGGAAAGGATGGGCTTCAAGAGCTTGATGAGGAATAAAGGGTAAGAGTCACATCCTCAGAATCATCTGAAGGTGGAAAAATTACAATGGAATATTTACTGGAATGGTAGGAAGAAATCAAATGGAGCTCTCAAAGCCTAGCCTTGTCTCTTAAGCCCTGGCTTTGCCACTGTATCTCAAGATATGATAAATTCCTTCCTCTCCCTGTCTCAAGGTCTCAAGAGATGTAATGAGATGATTATTCAGGTCTGTCTCAGCTCTGACTTGGTCACTGCTGTTGCAACATTTTGAAATTCTAGCCCTAATTGTGAAAGGGTTGATGGGACTACTTACAGGTCCGGGTGGTCATACAGTAGTTGACATAATTGGGGCACCTCATGGGCTTGAAGCAGTTGTACCCTTTGTATTCACAGACATAGCATTCCAGGGCATGGGCTATGTATAGAGGAGATACAGAACGTAGTTATTAAAAGGTTAACATTACCTTCCCCCCCAATCCTTACTATCTCTGGCTAGAGCCCAAACATTGGAAATGGGGGAGATGCCTTCTGGGCAGGTACATTCCCAAAGGACTGGACTCAAGGACTCAGGCCACAGCTGTTGTTCCCCCCAGGGCACATTTACCTCTCTCTCTCTTTTTCTAATATTTCAAGTGGTTGGCATCATGGATCTCACACAACCTACCCCTTCCTCCCACCTCTGGTATCCTAGACCCTTCGATTCTGCTATGGTCCCAGATATTCCTTCCTAGAATCGGATTGCTGGAATAAGGCGAGGAGAAGCATTAGAATTCCAGCCCTTCTGGGCACCTCCCCCATCCCACCCCAACCCCTGGAAGTCAAACTGGTTGTCTTCCTTACTGAGTGGCTGGGCCATGATGGTCATGAGAAGCAGGATTGGAAAGAATTTCATGGTTGAAAGCCGGGGGAAGGATTGCTAAGTTGAAGCAGGAAGCTGCAGGCAGGATTCTTCAGCCTGGAGAGAAGGTTAAGGGGAAAAGAGGGGGAAAAAAGCATAGGGAGGAAAGGATTAAAGAAAGGCTTCAAGTCTCCCATCCCTGCTCCTGTCCAGCTCTGCTCAAAGCATTCCCTGTTTCTCCTCCTGTCATTCTCTCTTCTCTGCCCACCCATCCTTCAATTCATTTCAAACTCTTCATTTGGAAAGGACACTGTATTTGGAGTCACAAAACATCTGTTCAAATCCTGGCTTAATGTTTTACCAGCTTCATGAACTTGGGCAAGTCATATTATTTCCTTTGGCTTCTATTTCTTCATCTGTAAAATGAGGTTATTACTTATCAAGGTTTGCAAAGTGCTTTAAAGATTATTTAAAGATATTATCTTATCGGGTCCTCACAATAGCTCTGTGGGGTAGATGCCACTTTATCCTCATTTTATAGTTGAAGAAACTGAGGCTCAGTGACATCATATGACCTGCTCTGCGTCACAGACTTGGGTAGGATTTGAACCCACTTCTTCCTGGTTGCAAGTGGCCCCTTCTAGCTCTTAATGAAACCAAACATTTATTAGGCATTGACTATATGGAAGTCCTCATGATAGTTATCTTCAAGGGCTCACTCAAACACTTCCTCCTCCAGGAAGCCCTCCCTGTGACCATCCTAGTCCAGATTGTTCTTTAATCAATTCTATAGACTCATCAAATCTATGAGCTGTCCACCTAGCCCAAGGTGTACCTCACCAGGGAATTGTTTCTGCAATAAACCTAATAAATACCCATGCAGCCTTCACCTAAAGGTTTTCTGTGAAGGGGACTGATTTTATCTTTAGCTAAAATCTGCCTTCTCATTGTCTAACCATTAGTCTTCAAGCAAGACAGCATTTCAAACTTGATGAAATGCATCCCCTCCCTTCCTTGCCAAGTCTTTTCTTCTGAAGGTTAAACATCCGCATTTTCTTCAAAAGATCTTACGTGAATGGCTTCCAATTAAGAGAGCCTGGGCCACGCCCATCCAACGGTTCCCTATTCTTGTTGGCTAGGGCTCTCCGCAACCTAGACTGTGAGCTCCCTGAGGGCCCCTCCTTTCACCTCTCTGCCGCAGTCCCCCTCCCACCTGAGCCCTGCATAACACTGCTGAGAAGGGGGAGGGCTCAGGAGATACTGCTAGGATGTCTGAACAGTAGACTGAGGGGGCTGTGACTCAGCTTATTCAGTCTCTGCTCAAGAAAGGAGCTTCTAATGCAGCAGAAGGCGTTTAGGTCAGACATCCTGGTGCCTAGGTCACAAAAGCCCCCTAAAATAAACAAACAAAAACCCCTCCTTCTCTCTAGAGACTTGCCCCCAGATATATTGTGCTGTCTAAACACCCAGTCACCAGCCCCTGTCTCGCCCATTCTCATGGTGCAGTAGGCTTGGTAAGGGTTAAAAGGATGGGCGGAGTTGTCGGTACCTTCCCAGGGCGCATTAACTGTTCATCCAGCCTCTCTGCTTGTCCCCCATCACTGCGCCATCACTACGGTCCCTATGATTCAGCATTCCGCAGTACCAGAAATCCGCCCCCACCCTGCCACACCCTCTGCTCTAATCAGCGAGCTCTATGATGTTGACTACCTTTGTGAACCCCATCAGCAAGTCACACATCCCAGCCCCAGCACTGATGTCGAAGGATCCCGGGCATCCTTCGGGAAAAATGAACTGACCGAAAGCTTGAGGAAGGAAGATCACCAATACGGCCCCGGAGCGGGAACGTTGGTACCTTCCATGGGCTCATTAACTGTTAATCCGATATTTTTGTTCCCATTAACCGCAGCCCCACTGCGCCACCATTACGTCAACACTGCACCAACATTACGTCAACACTGCACCAACATTACGTCAACACTGCAGTCCCTATGATTCAGCATTCTGCAGTACCAGAATCCCGCCTCCACCCCGCCCCCGCCCCGCCCCGCGCCCCTTCTGGCGTAATTTATGAGCCCTAAGATGCAGACGAATTTCGTGACCATCATCCACAAGTCACTGAATCTTTGGAGCCTTAGTTTCCCCTTCCGTAAAATGAGAACAATACTGGCACTAACTGCGTCAGAGGAGTATTTTGAGAAACAAGCTTTGCAAACTTTAAAGTTAACACAGAAATACGACGCATTAATACTATTATTAAGTTTTTACGTAATAATTAGTATTTTATGCACATTATTTTGTGACTTCTAGTTGTTTCTATCTACGCCCAAGTGAAAGCATCCTTCCCTAGGGCACAGTCTTATGGTCCTTATCCACTAACTCTAATCCCATGTTTGGCGTTAAAAGATCTCGGGCATCTTTTAGAAAAATAAGAGCGCGACTTAATTAGGAAGGAAAATCATCATTACGGCCCTGGAGCGGGGATGTTGGTACCTTCCTAGGGCTCATTAACTGTTAATCCGGTCTCTCTTTTTGTCCCCATTACCTGCGCCACCACTGCGCCACCATTGCGTCAACACTGCGGTCCCTCTGATTCAGCATTCTGCAGTGCCAAAATCCCGCCCCCATCCCGCCCCATCCTCTGCCGCAATCTCCCCCCCGCTCCCTCAGTCAAAAAGGGGCTCTAAAGGAGCCTAGGGAGGAGGGAAGGGATATTTCCTCATCTGTAAAATGAGAATAATTATATCACCTCCCTGTCAAGGTTGTTATGAGGTCTAAGTGAGAAAATACAGGAAAAGCGTTTTACAAACCTCAAAGCATTTTTATAAGTTGTCAGCAACTATATAAACAATAGCTATCATAATAGTAATTATTATAGCCCAGAGTGAGGGGAAAGCGGAGTGCCGGGCATAGACTGGGAGACGGGGAATATTGGGGGGGGCGAGCCCGGTAGGGGTGCAGAGATTGAGGGGGAAAGAACTGGCGGACTGGAGAAGGAGAGATGCTGGAGGGGGGGCGAGGGAAGAACTTGGTAGAGGAAGGTGAAATCCTGGGGGAATTGGAGATCAGGGAAGGACAGGAATGTGGAAGACAAGGCTGGGTGGGGAGCTAAGGAGTTTCTGTAGAAGCCCCCAGTTCATCCCAGCAGGTAGAGGAGCCCAGGACTACCCTATTTGCCTTGACTCCTCCTCCCTGAGAAGCCCCTTAAACAGCCGTTTACAGCAACTGGTAGGGTCCAGAAGAGACCCTTCCCAGGCTCTAGGCTTTCCCACATATCACTCACGTCCAGGTCCATCCGGGTCCATCTGGGTCCTTCCAAGTCAGTCCAGGTCCATCGTGGTCCATCGAGGTCCAAGCCCGCAGCTGCAGCCGCAGCGGCGGCTGCGGCGCAAGTGAGGCGACAGAGGGGCACCGCCGCCTTTTAGACCCTCTTAGGCTCCGCCCCCTCTCCAGACCCCCTCCAGCTCCGCCTCTCGCTCCCTTACTGCAGAGCCCCCTCCTTTCCTCCAACCCCACCTCCACTGCAGAATTTTGGCTCCTAGCCTAAAATCCTACCCCAAGTCCGGGTCCTTGACTCAGAATATTGCCAGGACCCCTCTCCCCCTACCCTCCCACCCACCCTCATCGTCACCCCTTCCCCCAAACTAAGCTTTTAGCCCATGGGAGACCCACACATCAGACTATACCCCAGGCTGGGCCCCAGCCTCTGCAGTCCTTTCTGGGCTCCGCCCCACACCTCCTTCTCCCTCCCTCAGATGCAGACTGCAGTCATTCCCTCCCCCTATTCCCCCCATCCTTGTCCGCAGTCTCCCCACCTTCTTCAAAACCTCTGCAAAATCTACTTCACCACCTCCCTGCAGAGTTCTCCTCACCCCTCCCAACCTGTTTCCCTATGCTTACATAATCTCTGCGGCAAATCCTTCACTGCACCATCACCACCCCTACTTTGTTCAGGAACCTTCTACATACTGACCCCAGCCAAGAATTTGGCCCCTGTCCCCAATCCCAAGCCAGTTCTGCCCCACATCTCACTCCCAACTCTGGACCACCCCTAGTTTACCATCCTCAACCCCCCACTCCCACCCCTCATCTCTCCAGAGCTGATCCTAAAACACCACACCTTTGTCTTTAACCAGTCTGTCCCCAGAACTGCGAGTGAGAGGCTGTGAGACAGTCACAGGAGGCTAGATTAAGAAAACATCCATGCGTGTGTTGACATTCCCAGATACAGAATCACCCTCAATCACACAGATACACATTGACAAGCATACATCCATATACATACACAAATACGTCTAACTCACAGGATTGTTGTGAGAAAAGCACTTTGCAAACCTTAATGATCTATTAAAATGTGATTTATTTTCTGTATGTCTATTCAAATGGAGACTACCTCATTTCGTTTCTTTATCTCTTATTACATCTTATGTGGATTATTGTGATCTCCAAAATGTCCTCCCTTCCAGTCTCTCCCTTATCTAATCCCTCCTTCCAGATTCATTTCACCATGTCACTTATATAATCTGTCTACTGGTTATATGTCTTTTCCTGGACTTCAAGGCCCTTCACAGTCTGGAATCTGCCCCCCTCCTCTCTTATCTTTCCAATTTTATCTTCCTTTATTCTCTTCATACTCTGTATACCTGAATCACTGAATGCTCCCAGTATACAAGCAACTTTTTCTCTTACATCTGAAATCTACCCCCTCCCCACTCCACCCAGTTAGTCCTTTGAAATCTTTCCCACAGTGTCTTCCTCCAAGGTCCCATTGGATCTCTTCCTAATATGAACTCCTGAAGCCCTGAACCTGATCTACACTTATGACTCTTTTCACATCCTGCATTTAACTGTTGGGATTCAGATTTTCAGAAAGGAAAAGAGGGAAGGGAAGAGTCCTCAAAGTATAGCCCAATGAAGTAGCTCTGATTTCTTAATAGGTTCCTAAAAGCATCTTATTAAAAGGGTGGTTTGTGAACATTCACAAAAGGGAAGCGAAGATTAAAATAATGATTTCATTAAGATTAGACTCTGCAAGGCTAACCTCATTTCTTTTGTTGGGAGGGTCACTAGATAGGTAAATTAGGGGAATGCCATATATGAGTATACATGGATCTCTGCAAAGGATTTGACAAAGCTTTTCATGCTCTCATGGTGGGCAAGACAAAGACATGGGGATTAGATACATTTGGGAAGATTCAGAACTAGTTAGATGCCTGGACCCAGACATTTGCTAGCTGTGTGATCCTGGGAAAGTCTCTTAACCTCTGCTTGCCTAAATTTCCTCATCTGTGAAACAGAGCTAATAATAGCACCTACCTCCTGCGGTTGTTGTGAGGATTAAATGAAATCATATCTGTAAAGTGCTTAGTACAGCACGTGGCATGTAGTAAGTGCTATATAAATCTTAGCAATGATGATGATGGTGATTAATCAACTGAAATCAACCAGGAGGGAGGTCTCTAGCAGTGTCCCAGGGATCTGTCCTTGGTTCTGTTTAGTTTTTTTGTTTATCTGTTTGTCTTGTTGTTGTAGTTGTTGTTAATTGTTTTTCAATCAAAGACTTGGATGAAAGTCTAAAGGGCATGCTTATCAAAACTGAGGATGATGTGAGGGCTAGTTAACATGTTGGATGATGAAACAGGAATCTCCCCCCCCAAAAAAAAAAATCTTCACAGGGCTAGTACATTGGGCCAAATCTAATATGATGAACTTTATTAATAGGGTCCAACACAACTTCAGTAAACTGACTGCCAAAACTTGGGACCAGGAAGGCTAGGCTAAGACTTAACTCATTTCCCTTTCTGACAGGGTTTCTTGACTTCTGGCTCAGCAGGAGATTTTTGGTCTTATCAGCTTAGAGCAGGTGAAGTTCCTTAGCCTCCAGATCAGATCACTAAGGAAAAGCATCACTAGGAAGTTTCTGGATATTGTAAACAGAGGGATTGATCATGGAAGTCAGTGGCCATACCATTTATACCACCAGATTGTGCCAGTACAAAGTAAACTGGTTTGTTCCTTCACTTATAGTTTCTAACTTGATTGAGCAGAGATAGAAGGTCAAACTATTCTGCCCAGAAACCTTCTTCAGCAAACTCACTGTCAGCCAGAAAAGACTTGGAAAAGCAGCTGCCTTTTCAGATTTGTTGGTGATGTGAGGAAGAATGACCTGATGAGAAATCCCTTGAAAGGAAGCTTATGGTGGTTTAGATTATCTCAGTCATCTGGAGGATGATCTATGAGAGATAATCATGGGAATGCTATGACTGATCTAGATTTTAGTGAAGCATGTGACAGGCATTCATGGTGGGAAGGAGAAACATAGAAGCAGAGTACAGTTATGTGGCTTTGAAAATAGCTGAATGACTAGCCTCCAAATGGTGCCATGTTAATGGATTGAGGTCTTTGAAGGAAGACCTTAGTGGAGTACTTCAGGTAACTGTGCTTAGCCCTGCTCTTCCAGACATTTTCACCACTGACTGGATAAACAAGATACAGTCCATTTATCAATTTTATAAACACTACAAAACTGACAGTTGTTAATTTATTAGATGACACACTCAGGATTCAAAAAGAGATCACAACAGGTTAGAATCTTCTGGAATGTTCAGGATTCAAAGAAGATCTCAACAGATTAGAATGTTGCAGAACATATCTGGGATAAATCTAACTAGAGTCTTAGACTTGAGTTCTATGTTAAGGCTAGCCACAGTATGACAGCCACAATTCATTCCATTTCTGATTTGTAGCTGCCATGATCTCTTTCTTCATGCTTGTATAGGAGGGTTTGTCATTTAAGATATACATATTTTTGGTAACTGAAGGTGCTAAGATTCCTTTGTTGCTGTCTGTGAATTGACTGCTAAGTGATTGCAAAAGTGAATAGGGCAGTCTGATTCCTTTTCTGTCCTGCAAAACCCCTGTGAACTCTATTCAGGGTCAGAAATGTAAACCTTACAAGTACAAGAATAAATGTTTTCCAAAGAACTGAAGTCCATCTTCTATCCCTTCCAACATCATTCCTCCCTAGTCAGGGAAGGGGGGGCAGAACCAAACAAAACCCTTGTAACAAAAATGAATAATTAAGCAAAACAAATTCCTGCATTGGCCATGGCAAAAAAAAAAAAAAATCTCTGGGGGTTGTAGTGGTCTGCAATCTCCTTATTAATCAGTATGGATCTGGCAGCCTAGATGGCATAATGGATAGAGTGATGGACTTGCATTTAGGAAGACCTGAGTCCTGCCTCAGACACTTACTAGTTTAAACCTCTGTCTGCCCCAGTTCCCTCAATTGTAAAATGGCAAACATAATACCTACCTCCCAGGGCTGCGTGAGAATCAAATGAGATATTTGTGAAGTGCTTTGCAAACCTTAAAATACTATGTGAAGACTACCTATTTATTGCTGTTGTTTCTGTTGTTGTTGTTAAACAGAGGGGGGCCTCAAAGTCAAGAAGAACATTTCTGATATGTACTGGCTATATGATTTAACCTCTCAGTGTGTAGACCTCCACTGATATAGAGTTTCCTCACCTTGAAACTTCTTATATCAATGAAATCACCAGTCTATTCCCTATCCACAAAAAAGAAAAGAATATTCTATTTATATTACAGTAAGCATTCCAAAATGGAAAGCATTATCTTTCCCACAAAACCTGACCCTTTTTTGAACTTCTCTATTTCTATTGATGGTTATTACTACCTTTCTAAGCCCCAAATTAGAAATCTTTGGAGTCTACTTTAACTCTTTCATTTTCCTCTCCTCCAGTCAGCTGCTATCTTATCCATTCATTTCTTACTAGTTTCATTCCAATCATAGTCTCCTGATGCCACTGTCCTAGTTCGTGACTTCCACCCTCTGGTCATAGTTCTGTCCTCTAGAGCCAAATAAAATACATCTAAACCATCTTCCACATAACAATCTTTCAAATGTGGAGTGGACATTGCCTAGTGTTTTCAAATGATCTTTAGTAGATTTGTTTTGGGGGCACATTCAATACTTTGAGATTTCAATCTGGGACTCAGAAGAAGAGAGAGGTTGGAGATACAGATGTGGCAATCATTTGTACAGAGATGGTAAATGAAACCATAGGAATGGATTGTATTGTCAGGAGAGAGAGAGAGAGAGAGAGAGAGAGAGAGAGAGAGAGAGAGAGAGAGAGAGAGAGAGAGAGAGAGAGAGAGAAATGTTAAGGACAGAGCTGGGGGGGCACTTTAATAAATAGGAAAAAGGAAAAGGAAAGACAAAGGACCACTTAGAGAAACAGGAGTATGGGAGAATGCTTGGGAGAGTACAATGTCTTGGAAGCCAAAGAAGAAAATTATATTTAAAAGAAGGGAGTAGCAAACAGAATTTGAGTAAAGACAACTGGAAAGTTTTTAGTAGAATTTACCCAGGTGAGGAT